CCCCCGCCCCCCCCCCGCCGAGACCCCGACCCCGGCCCCACGGGCGGACACTCGGCCGGGCAGCCGCGGGCCGAGCGCAGCCACCTCCGCCGCCGATGCGCCTGGTGGCCAGACTCCAAGTGGGACCGGCGGACACGCAGCCTCGCGGTAAGTTCAGCGCTGCGGGCTGACGGCCCGGGCTGGGGGACTCCCCGCCACGCTCGCCTTTCCCTGCAGTCATCCCTCTTTTGGAAATTTCCTGAACTTTGGCGGGTCAGACGCCTCCGGGGGCGTTGGAGTCCTGGGAAGCCGCACGCCTTGGGGGTGGAGAGGGGTGAACGGTGTCCGCGGGGTGGCGGGAGCCCCGCCCGGGTCCCCGAGCCTTCGGGGGGCGTGTGTGACAGGTCGCTAGTCCTGTGCCTAAAATCTTTATTTTTCCTGTTGTGTGTGTCGGGGGGTGGGTAGCTTGGAGACCGAGGGGGGCGTTTGGGATTTTGCTCACGTCCGAAGTCAGGCCGCGGCAGGATTGGGACGGGGGAGGCTTGGCGTCGGAGCGACTAAAGAGAGGAGCTCTTGAACCCGAAGGGGGTACTTCTGCAAGCTTTTTCCCCTCCCAAACACCCTTTTTAAAAAGCCAACGGCCGCCCTGGGAGAGGCCCCTGCGCATGAATCATCCTCGCTTCCTGCCCCCGCCCGGCCCCGCGATCCGGGTGCCGCGGATTTGAACTGGACGCCGACGGGAACCCGCAAACAGGCATTTCTTTGCAGATGGGTTTGAATCAGCCAATCACAGCCCGCGGGGGCCCGCTCCGGGAGGATGGAGGCGCGGTTGGGGGGGCCGCCACCCGAGGGCCCCCGCCCCGCCAGGGGGGTGCGGCGACCGGGCCTGCTCCCAACGGCGCGGCGGGGGAGGAAGTGTCAGTTTGTGAACCTGCCGCGGGCCTGGGCCCCAGGCCCGGCGGGCAGGGACCTTGCAGCGCCCGGGAGCCAGGTGGCAGGGAGAAGGCAGAGATTTGGACTGCATACCCTGCCCGGTGCCTGCGCGCTCTGCCCTGGAGAAAAGAGAGGAATCCGGAGGGGGGGTGCGGGGAAGGGCGGGGGCGGGATGGGGGGAGGCAAGAGGGGACGTGGCCGCGCCACCATCTGGAGAGTGAAGACCCCAGCAAGGCCCTGCCTGCCCCAGGGCCCTTGACATGCACACACATGTATTCCATTTCATATGCTCACTGACATAAGGCTGTAGACATCAAACACAGTCTCACAGGAGTACACACATACTTACAGGGAAAAACACAGGACTCTCTCCCTGTCTACAGGTAATCATACCACCAGGTGCCCAGCGCCTTGGCAGAGAAGGAGGGGACCAGAGTAGCGGGTGCAGGGAACAGAGGGATGCTGTGTTTTTGGCTTAGTGGAGAGTGTGTAGAGGGGCCTGCAGCCAGGTGAGCCCAGACTGAGGAGGAGGGGGCCGTGGGGGGGCTTTGAATGCCATTGAAGGTACTGGGGAGCCACAGAAGATTTCTGGGAGAATAAGAAGATGGGAATTGATGGCCTTGTGGAAGAGTCTGGTGGGGAGGCAGGAAACAGGGAGTGGCCTGTTTAGCACTGGGCGCTGGTGGTTCCATTCTGAATCCCAGGTGCCCAGCATAGGTGAGTGAGCACAAGGCTCAGGAAACAGTTATTAAATGAATGAATGGTCCAGGCAAGATGAGGCCTGAACTCAGACCAGGACAGGGGGATGGAAAAGAGGAGTAGGGTGCCAGAGGTCACTGTGCTTGGCTGCTATGGCAACTCATCGGTTGGAGAAGTCTAAGATGCTTGGGGGTCTGGGGACCAAGTAGTACCATTAGCAGGAAGAAACGGAAGCAATGGGAGCAGCACATTTGTAGGATGGTGAAAGACAGATGTGGAGAGGTTGGCATGGCAATGACTTCACTGCTTGGAGCCGGTTTGCATCTGAGTAAAAGCATAAGTGAGTTTAAATGTCCCAGAATTGGTGTCCATTAAATCATCCCATAATTGAGAACAGAAAAGGAGATTGCGGAAGACACAGATGGCCAAGTCTATACCAGTTCACAAGCCACCCAGGAGTTTTCCTCTCCAGGTGAGTTTTCTCTGGCCAGCTCTCAGGGTAGGGGTCAGGGGTCTGAGAACTTCCCGCTGCTCCGCTGGAGAAGGTCCTCCACTCAGAGAACACAGAGTATGTTTGCTTTAGGGATAAAACCTCTGGCTGTGAAGCCAGGGAGTGAGGTTCAGGCCCCATTGGGCAGGGAGATTTTGCTCCGTGGTTGGTTGGGAGAGCCTTTCTATTTAGAAGGCTGCATGGTATGGGTGGGGAGAGAGCAGGACTTAGAATCAGCTCACCTGATAATGGACCATGGCTCTGCCTCTGACCCCATAGCCACTTCCCCTTGCCAAACCTGTTTTCTGACTGGTAAAATGGGAATAATAATGCCTCCCTCACAGCGTTGTCAGCAGGATCCAGTGAGATGATAAAAGCATCTGGCACATAGCACAGGTTACATAAATGGTTGTTTCTTTCCTTCCTTCCCCTTCGCCTGAAGTAAGGAGTAAAAACCCCTTTCTCTTTCTCTTCCAGTGTCAGTGGAAGCTGATGGAGAATCGAGGTCTGGACCCAGGGACTCGGGACTCCTATGGTGCCACCAGCCACCTCCCCAACAAGGGGGCCCTGGCAAAAGCCAAGAACAACTTCAAAGACCTGATGTCCAAGCTGACAGAGGGCCAGTATGTGCTGTGCCGGTGGACAGATGGACTGTATTATCTCGGGAAGATCAAGAGGGTAAACCTTTCCTCCCTGGCCCCAGTTCCCAGGCTCAGCATCTCTCTGCTCATCCTCTGGTCTCGGCCTCAGACCCGTGATGGAGGCTGGGAGACTGCTGGGAAATTCCCACCTTGTCCTTATGCTCCAAACTGAAAGTGGAAGGAGGCGGAGCCTGCAAAAGCAGGTGCCATCCTTAGGGCCAACATCTTTAGAAAAGTGCTCTGTGAGCCTATAAAACAAAACAAAATCAGGTTGGAGAGGATCACAAACGATCACCTGGCTTGTTCTGTCCTCGGCATCCCCGCCAAGTTGCCGTCCCCCAGTCCTTGACTGCACAACTCCAGTGAGTGGGTGTGCACTACCTCCGGAACTGCCATCCTCCGTCCCCTGCTAACCTGGCTCTCCTTTTTGCAGCACAAGGAGAGGTCTAAAGCCTCTGACCTGTGGGGACAGAAATGGGAGAGGAAGACCGTGTTCAAGTGGCTTTTCCCCAGCTACTGTCTCACACTGCCCCTCCCTCTCTCCGCCCCAGGTCAGCAGTTCTAAGCAGAGCTGCCTTGTGACTTTTGAAGATAACTCCAAATACTGGGTCTTGTGGAAGGACATACAACATGGTGAGTATTCCTGTGATTTCAGGCACCCCCCACCCCTGCCCAATCCCCGATCCTCTCTCCGCCTCTCCCTCCATTTTTTCCTTCTCTCCTTCTGTCTCTGACTTCTGGCCTCTGGCCTTGTCCTTGGAGCCCCAGGCGCACCTGAGATGCTGATCGGATTACCAGCTGTACATTTATGTGGAAACACACTTATGACATCTGTCATCCCCTTGAGTACTCCTACCTCATGAGGGAGGCAGGCAGATGGAGAAAGTGGCCCGGGGAGGTGCTGGGAGAGCAGGGTTGGGTCCCAGGCCTGTGTTTGCTTCCTTGCTGCCCAAAGCTCTGGGTCACTCTGGGGCTAGGGAACAGGGAAGGGCCCAGGCAATCAGAATTGTCACCTTTCGGTATAAGCACAGTGTCCCCTATCAGCATGGTAAGAAAACGAGGGAGGCAGCTCTCTTCATGGGGGAAAGACCAAACAAACAGATATGAACCAGGCAAGGTGATGATGGACTTACCGGGATGGAGCTAGGCCAGTTTTCAGAGTTGAAAGGGAGCTGGGTTGGGTACCATCCCTGCCCTCAGAGAGCTGATACTGTCTTACAGAGATGACAGATTGGGGGCATTCTTGCCACCTTTCTTCCTTGCCATATACATGACAGACATCACTAATCAATCACAATACTTGTATATTTTCAACGTGGAGCTGCAAGCAGCCACTACCAGTCAGAGTTACCGTGAGAGAAGAGACTTTTTTTTTTTTGCCATTTATGCTCTAACAGGAGAACCGACATGGCGGTATGTGGGGAAGAGGCAGGTTTTAGGGTCCAGTATTCCTCGGACCAAGATATTCTAGCTCTGCCACTTACTGCTGCATATCTTTGGGTGAGTGACATAACCTCTGTGAGCCTGTTTCTTCATCTGAGAAAAAGGAGACTGAACGTCCTGGCCTCACAGTGTGGTTAAATGCTTAGCCCAGTGCTGCTGAGTTACAGGGAGGCTGTTTCTGAAGAATTTGTTACCATAAGAGATGATTTCAAGAGCCTGCCAAGCAGAGGCCACAGAACCCAGCCAGTTAGTCGAGCTTCCAAATTGCCTTTTTCTCCAAGATGTTGTGGCTAATGCAGGCTGTTGTTTCTCCAAGCCCCTCTCACCCTAAAGGTATTATTTAAAAATCCAAAGCAACGAGGGTCTCCTCTCCTGGGCTACCTTCTTTTTGAAAGCAGGAGGAGCCAGCTGGTGAGGAAAGACAGTCCAAACCATGGGTCAAAGTAGCTCACCATGAATAGAAGGCCTACTGTGTGCCAGGCACCAAGGAGGTGCTGCAGTGCTCACCTGGGGAACCATGTCGCTCCCCAGCCAGATCACTGCTCCTCACAGGTAGGACAGCAGCCCTCCGGGGTCACCCAAGATTAGAGCATAAGTCTGAGCACGCTATAGTTACTGATCCATCACTTCATTAAGCCAGCGAAGACTTACTGCGACCCACAGTGGGTCCCGCCTTCCTGGGAGCATATTCAGGGATAAGAGGCAAGACACCATTTATTCAGCAAACATGTCTTGAACACGTGTTATGTGCCACACCCCATAAGAGGTCCTGGGGACACAGAGATGAACAGATACCTTTTCTGCCCTTACAGAACTTTCCGTCTGCTGAGGGAAATGAGACGGAAACACACATCAAAATGTATCTTTATTCATTCAAACCCTTCAGTCATAAATACATATTTCTTCTTCAGCAACGCCAAATTGCAAAGGAAAAAAAGAGAGAGATGGAGAGGGAAACTGTAGATTAAAAGCAATTGATCAAACTTAAAATTGTTATGACTTTTTTGAGACAATTGGATATGTGAACACTAACTGAATTTGTTGATATTAAGAATTTATTTTTAATTTTTAGGTGCAATAAAGGTGCTGTAGTTATTTTTTTTTTTAGAGTCCTGAACTTTCAGCGATATGTACTGAAATATTTAATACAGGAGGGGGGGAAGTGAGTGGGAATATAGTCAAAACAAGATTGCCCGTGAGTTCATGATTGTTGATAAGAACGTGGAGTTTCATTATAACGTTCTGTTATTATTCCATAATAAAATTTTTTTTTAATTATTTAACATAAAAAACTTTAATAAATCAAGTTAAATTAAGCAGGAGAGGCAGCATGACACGGTGAAAAGGACAAATAATTTGATGTCAGATATCTGCGGGTTTGAATCCACCCCCCCCTACTTACCAGCTGAGCATGGGACTTAACCTCTCTGAGCCTCGATTTCCCCATCTTTAGAATGGGCTAATGGTAATAGGCAGCTCAGACTGGTTGGGGAGATTCAGTGAGTTGGCCTGTGGGGCCCAGCACTCAGTAGAGGCTCAGCACCTGGAATGTAATTTTAAAACTGCCCTTTCCTGTGAGCCCGACCTGACCCTAGAGGGCCTCTTTCTTTCAGCTGGTGTTCCAGGAGAGGAACCCAAGTGCAACATCTGCCTGGGGAAGACATCAGGACCGCTGAATGAGATCCTCATCTGTGGGAAGTGTGGCCTGGGTGAGTGTGATGAGCAGGGCATGGAGAAGGCCCAGACCTGTGGGTCCCCATTCCCCGCTGGCTCGGGACCTGCGTCGCCTCAGACCACTGGGGCCTTAGCTGGCTTCCTGTTTCTTTTGGAGCTCCAGAGTGACAAGGGGCCAGTCTCTGGGAATGAGGGCCCAGGGAGGTGATCCTTGGGGAAAGCTGGGGCTTCTGGAAAGTGAGAGAAGTTATGTACTTTGGAGGCCCCGTGGGTGGAGAGGATGGGTAGGAGAGATGGGGCACAGAGGCTGAAGCCAGACCTTTGGTGCTTCCCGCACTGGGCCAATGCTGGCTCTTAGTGGCCTGCTTGGACACCAGCCTGGCTGCCTGGTGAGCATGACCAGCCAGTCCCCTGGTAGCTGGCAGGCACACAGCTCCTAGGACTTGCCGCGGCCCTCCTCAGCCTGCCGCCTCTGGGCTGACTGGCCTCGGGCCACTGCTTCCTCGTGGGCACTCACCCCCTCTCCTTTGCCATAGGTTACCACCAGCAGTGCCACATCCCCATAGCGGGCAGTGCCGACCGGCCCCTGCTCACACCTTGGTTCTGCCGACGCTGCATCTTTGCGCTGGCTGTGCGGGTGAGCCCTCCATCCTTCCCACCCTGCTTCTCCCCATCCTCCAGTCTGGAAGCCCAGAGACTCCCTGGGCTCGGGCCTCACTCCTGGTCAAAGAGCCTGGCTTTGGAGGCAGACAGCGACTGCCACTTAACCAGCTGTATGTCCTTGTGCAGGTTCCTTAGCCTCCCTGAGCCTGTTTCCTTGGCTGTTAAATGCATACAGGTTTGGGGACTTCCCTGGTGGTCCAGTGGTTAAGACTCCACGCTTCCACTGCAGGGGGCGCGGGTTCGATCCCCGGTGGGGGAATTAAGATGCCACATGCTATGCGGCCAAAAAAAAGAAAAAAAGTACTCTTTAAATGGATACAGCTTTGGTGTCAGGAGTAGGAGGCCCCCAACAAATAGTGAGAAATCACTATTAAGAGAGAAAATCCATATAAGCGCCCACTCTCAATATGTGTTGGTTATTATTGTTGCTTTTATTGTTGTGCTTATTACTATTAATATTATTGACAATGCAGCTCCTTGGGGATAGAGAGAGGATGGATCTGGGATTGATGAGAAGAGGCTTTGTGCGTTTCTGACTACATTGGAATATCTTGTTCCACCTGGTCGGCATTAGCCTCGATAGGGAGCCACGTGTGGCCCAACCGGGACCCCCGCGGGTAACTCGGGCCCTCATCTTCCCGCAGAAAGGCGGCGCGCTGAAGAAGGGCGCCATCGCCAGGACCCTGCAGGCTGTGAAGATGGTGCTGTCCTACCAGCCCGAGGAGCTGGAGTGGGACTCGCCCCACCGCACCAACCAGCAGCAATGCTACTGCTACTGCGGCGGGCCGGGAGAGTAAGGCCGCGGGGGCGGGGCGCGGGGCGGGGCCCCAGGGAAGTGGGGTAGGCGCGGCTGGCTGGGGGAGCCAGACCCCCATGGAAGAGCCCGTATCCTCCCTCAGGCCTCCGGGATGACACCTGAGCGCGTGGGGCTCGAGAGCACAGGGCTAGCGCTCTCCGCAGCGGGGTGCAGGGGAGTGGTGGTGTTTTCTTGGGGCACCGTGGAAAAGAAGGCAGTACTGAAGAGTGGTTACCAGACTGGCCCCCAGTGTCCAAATTTTCCCAGCCCCTTAGAGCTGTGCTACCCCTGAGCCTCAGTTCTCATCGTAGTTTTCCCGTGACATAGTGGTTGTGAGCGGTGGGTGAATTAGGTCATTCACGTAAAGGCTCACACAGTGCCTGGCACTTGGTAAGCACTTTAACAAATGTGAGCTGTTACTGTTGGTGCATAGACGTTGAGATAAACCTTTCCATTGCCAGAGTCAACGAGACAGGCTGCTGATGAGATATGAAGGTCCTTTTCCCTGGAGGTGTGCAAGCAGGGGTTGGGGGGAATACCTTGGGGACGCTGTGGAGGGGGTTCTTAGCCTGACTCTATGTAGGACGGGAGTCTGATTCTTCCTTGTGGCCTGGGCCTCCACGCAGCCATGGCTGATTGAGCCTGTTCCCTTGGGCTGACTGTACCAACACCGTGGGAGGAACCACGGTAGTGAGAGATGGAACCTCTGCCCTCAGGAAACAGCCTACAGTTCACCCTGAAGTGCTGAGTCTCATCCCCAACTTCTGCCGACAAGCACTAGGGGTCTGGAGGCTGTGCTTACGGCCTAGCCGGGTGATCTGGGCAAATCACTTGAAGCACTTCGTCTCTCAAGTGGGATTAATAACCTCGGCCCCATCATCCTCCCGTGGGTGTTGAGGCCTTTGGGAGAACAGATGGAGAAATGCTTATAGAGTCCTTTGCAGCATTGAGGTGGTGGTTCTCAACGCTTACTGGGCAGAGTTGCTCAGGTGATTGTCAAAAGTGTGTTTCCCAGGGGCTATCCCAAAGATTGAGTAGGCCTGGAACGGGTCAAGGAATCTTCTGCATTTTAACCTGGACCCCAGGTGATTCTGATGCCGGTGGTCCAAGGACCACACCTGACAAGGTGTGAACAAAGCACTGACTGTTAAGAAAACACCTTTTTGGTTTTCATTCTTGTTCAATGAGTAGTTGTTGAATGGTTGTGATAGGGTAGATAACATTACCAGGTGAGGGGCTTATAGGAGCCTTTATTCTCCCATGAAGTCTCCAGGGCAAACCTTTCCCCATCAGTAGTGTTTGGGAAGCAGTGTGTGAGGCACAGGCCAGAGATGGGGGCTCCAGTGTGGCACAAAGAGCATGGGCTTTGAAGTCAGGGAGGCTAGGATTTGAGTCACCATCCACCACTTGTCTCCTGAGTGACCTTGAACAATCTATTTAACCTCTGACTCACCTGTAAATTGTGGTCAGCAGCCCGTGTTTGACCAGATGGTGAGATCAAATGATATAGCCTAAGCCTTGCTGCCAGGGCTTCCCCTGGCACAGCCCAGTGCTCAGTAACTGTGAGTTCTCTTCCCTTTCCCCCGCTGGAGGGCGAGTTTGTGTTGGGAAAGGTTGCTGAGGCTGATCCCTGGCTGGGAGTGTGGGCCTGGCTGACCCTGGCTCCTCTGGCTCTCCAGATGGTACCTGCGGATGCTGCAGTGTTACCGGTGCAGGCAGTGGTTCCACGAGGCCTGCACCCAGTGTCTCAATGAGCCCATGATGTTCGGAGACCGGTAGGTGCTAATATGGTCTGGCTCAGCCTTGGGGGCGAGGTGGGGGGATGGGGGCAGCAGCTGCAGCAACTCCTTCAGGTTGCCTGCCAGGCCCTAGACTCCCAGTGTGGGGCTGGGACAGTGTGTCCCTGTCTACAGAGGCAGCTCAGGGTGAGGAGGCCTGCCCAGTAGAGGGACATGCTGGGCCACATCCCCAGTCGCAGCCCCACCTTCCCTAAGCCCCAGACGCTTCAAGTGTCTGGGGAAGGGGGAGAGACACAGGCCCTGCCCCAGCCCTGACCGGGGTTGTTGGAGGAGGCAAATGGATGACTTGATCTGGCTTCTAACCAAGGGGGCTAAGCTAGTGGAAGGCTTATGTGTGTCAAACAGGATATTGTGTGTGTCTTGGTTGGTGTCTTACATGGTTTGTGATTGAGTGTGTGTGTGTGTGTGTGTGTGTGTGTGTGTGTGTGTGTGTGTGTGTGTGTGAGGCAGAGGGGAAGAGGGTGGTCCCTGCAGCCCAGCCTAGTTCAGCTCACTCTGAACTCAGCCACACTCCAGGGCAGTGATATTTGGGAAAGGGTTTGAGGTACGGGTTAGAAGGGGTAGGGGAGTAGTTCTTGGTCCCTATTCTGCCCCATCTTTATCCCCTCCTCAGAGGGAATGAGGACAATGCTGGCTATGGGAAAGCAGGTGGGGGGGCGGTGAGGGCGCTGGACCAGGGTGGGGTGTCAGAGCCCCTCCTACCACAGGCCCCCTTTTCACCCACCCACAGGTTCTACCTGTTTTTCTGCTCCGTGTGCAACCAGGGCCCAGAGTACATCGAGAGGTTGCCCCTGCGATGGTGAGAGGGTGGGGCTTGGCCCAGGCCCACTCCTGTCCCTTCCCAGTTTCTCCCTTCCCTCCTCCCTCTGGGAACAATGCCATTTCCAGCCACCAGGTCCCAGCCTTGCCCCTGCCCTTCAGCCTGGACCCAGGATGCTCCAGCCCTGGCTGCACAGGCTGCCAGCTCACTCTGGGCCCACCCCCTTGCACCCTTGCCCAGGGTCGATGTGGTTCACCTGGCCCTCTACAACCTGGGGGTGCAGAGCAAGAAGAAGTATTTTGACTTTGAGGAGATTCTGGCCTTTGTCAACCACCACTGGGAGCTCCTGCAGCTTGGCAAGGTATGCAAGACCGTGGGACGTCAGAATGGCGAGAATCCGTTCCACAGTGGGGTTCCCTAAGTCCAGAGAGGTGAGAGGTTTGCCCAGGGCCACACGGCGCCGCACTAGGATCTGGGTCTCTGAGCACAGTTCTTCAGGAACGCTGGCTGTCCGTGAGGGCTGCTGAGCGGGGACAAAGACCCAGAGCCTTTGAGCCGTTGCATCTCTGAGTCCAGGCATCTGAGCCTGTTCCCTGCAAGGAGCTTCCTAACCCAGGCTTTGGTAGTGGGTGGGTTAGGGCCTCACCAGCTCAGCTGTAGGGAGCTGGGGGTCGAGTCTGGCTGGAGGAGATCTCCCTACAGAGCTGTGTGACCCACTCCAGATTACCTGGCTAGGATGGAACGTGAAGTGGGCCTGCCCTCTGCCGGTCGTACTCTGAATAGCAGAAGAGATCACCAGGGGTGTGGGAGCTGGGATTCACGGAGCGAAGTCACAAACCAGAGACTTTCAGGATGTCAGAGGTGGAGAGCTGAGCCAGGGCTTCCCCAACCACTTCCACGGCAGGGCCATGCACCCTTCAGTGACACCCTTTGAATCCTCTCCACCACATCCAGAGTGAGGCATCTTCTCTGCTGACTGCCCCAAATCCTTTAGTGAAATAGGGCTTTTTTTTTTAAAGTAACTTTATGCTCGGCAGAAGTTCTTCATATAGTAACGTCTTCATTTACAGTGTTTGATAATTTACAAAAGGCATACATATTATAAAGCCCTAAAAGATAGGTAGAGCTGGGATTTTTAAATAATTTTTTCCCTGATTTATTAAAAAAAAAAATCAGGCATGTTCCTGGTAGAAAATTTTCAAAGTACCAAAAAGTATAAGAAAGTACACTTAAAAGAAAACCATCCATACTCCTGCATCTCACCACTCAGAAACATCCACTGCTAACACACACAGGTGCACAGAGTTCAATCCTCTCATTTACGTCTATTTTTCTTTTTATAGGGCTTAGATGATACGGTCTTTACAATTTTTTATTGAAGTATAGTTGATTTACAATATTATGTTAGTTTGAGGCATACAGCAGTGATTCAGTCATATGTGTGTGTGTGTGTGTGTGTGTGTGTGTATGTATATATATATACATACACACACATATTTTATCCAGATTATTTTCCATTATAGGTTATTACAAGGTATTGAATATAGTGCCCTGTGCTATGCAGTAAATCCTTGTTGTTTATCTATTTTATGTATAGTAGTGTGTATCTGTTAATCCCATACTCCTCTAATTTATCCCTTCCCCCTCCTTTTCCTCTTTGGTAACCATAAGTTTGTGGGAATGTAAATTGGTGCAGCCACTATAGAAAACAGAATGTAAGTTCCTTAGAAAACTAAAAATAGAGCTACCATATGATCCAGTAACCCCACTCCTGGGCATATATTCAGAAAAGATGAAAACTCTAATTCAAAAAGACACCTGCACCCCAATGGTCATAGCACTATTTACAATAGCCAAGACATGGAAACAACCCAATTTCCCATCAGTAGATGATTGGTTTAAGAAGATGTGGTGTATATATACAATGGAGTATTACTCAGCCATAAGAAGAATGAAATATTACCATTTGCAGCAACAGGAATGGACCTAGAGAATATTATACTAAGTGAAGTAGGTCAGACAAATATTATGTCACTTGTATGTAGAATCTAAAAGATAATACAAATGAATCTGTATACAAAACAGAGACAGTATATACAATTTTAAGTCATTTTTTTTTCAGTTTACATTATATCATAAATACTTTTCCATGTTATGAAAGAGTTTTTAATCAACATTTTTCATGGCTCCATGGTTTCCACCATAGTTTACTTGCTTGTCTCCTTCCTGTTGGGCATGTAGTTTCTTTCCCGTCGTTAGGAAAATGATGCGGTGAACATCTTTGTACATAAAGCTTTATTTGTGTGTCATGTCTGTAATGATAGGTTCCACGGAGCAGCATTACTGGGTCAAGGGCATGGACATTTTTAAAGCTTTTGATACATTTAGGACAGGAGTTACGCTCCTCATTTACAGATGGGGACGTGAGCTCAGAGGTGAAAAGACTTGTCTGAGATCATGGAACAAGTCAGTGGTCCTTGCCTGGAGGACTCGGGGCATCAGGAGATTGAGGGGAGGGTGGGGACAGGGGCTGAGGTCTTCTCAGATCCAGGCGCCAGGTCTGACTGTCCTCTGCCCTGCTCCCCCGTAGCTCACCAGCACCCCTGTGACGGACCGAGGACCGCATCTCCTCAACGCTCTGAACAGTTACAAAAGCCGGTGCGTGCAGGGAAGGGAGGGAGTGCTGTGGGCCCCCCGACAGGTTGGATTTCAGTTAAAGCATCTTCCTACCTCATAACCTTTGCACAAGCTATGCTCCCACCTGGGTCTCCCTCCACTTCTCGTTGACTATATGAATATTACCCGTCCTTCAAGATCAGGGAGCACCCCCTTCATTTGGGATGCCTCCCCTGACCACTCCAGCAGCCAGACACATTTCGATACTGGACTCAGCTCCATAGGGGGCTGCAACCCCTGCTCTCTGAGGTCTCCCCTGCACCAGCCATCTATGGTTCTGGGCCAGGCACTGAAGCACGGATTCATCACCTGTCCCCAGCCCATGTCTGCCCATCCAGACTGCTGAGTTCTTCTCAGAACACACGGCTGGCATGCCCCTCACTACCACCACGGAGAGTGCCCAAGTTCCTTAGCATGGCATTCAAGGCCTCTTATGATCAGACCCTGTCCATACCTTCTGCCACGGACCCTTTGCTTTATTTATTCTGGGCGTCAGCCATTCTGAACCCTTTGCTTTCCTACTCAGTGCTTTTGCTCACACTCTTTCTTCACCTAGGATGCTCTTCGATGCCTTTCATTCATTTCTTCCATCATTGACTATTTATTGAACTGCTCTGTGTCAGCCCTGTGTAGGTACTGAGGACACCGTGAATAGGACACGGTCCCTGCTTCTGTGAAACCTCCCCAGACATCTCTAGACAGAACTATCCACTCTCTCTTTCATTTTGTCACGGTTTGGGGCCCAGACACAGCCCTCTACTTGAGTACGTGGGGCCTCCTGACCTCTCTGTGGACGGTCTCCTGAGGGTAGGACTGTGGCTAAGTCACCTCTGCAGCCTCATGGCAGCTCAGCGGTGATGAAACGGTGAGGGAAGTGCCTGGAGGTGCTTTCAGTCTCCTTGGGGAGAGCAGAGAACAGAGTGGTGTGGAATGCAGTGTTTTGACCACAGGGTTCCACGGGGAGCTGGAGGAGGGCTTCCTGTAGGCAGAGGCCTTGGGGCTGGTTGAGGCAGAGAAGAAAAGGGAGGAACAGCAGGAGCCACACACAAGACAAGGAAGCACGGGGATGAGCCGCCGGCTGCGTTCTCGGCCGCCACCTGGAGCCCCTGATCCCACAGGCTTCGAGGAATCAGTGTCTCCACGGGCCACTCTGGGTCCGGGGAGGCAGAGAGGGAGGTTTTAACACTTGGCTCTCCTCCCCAGGAGGATGGACGGACAGGCTCCAGAGCTTTCTCCTCTCCCTGCCCACCCCCAGGTTCCTCTGTGGCAAGGAGATCAAGAAGAAGAAGTGCATCTTCCGCCTGCGCATCCGCGTCCCGCCCAACCCCCCCGGGAAGCTGCTGCCCGACAAGGGCCTGGTGCCCACTGAGAACGGCGCCTCTGAGCTGCGTAAGAGAGGAAAGAGCAAGCCTGGGTCAGTGCCTGGGGCCCTTGGGCCGGGGCCGCAGCCGACCTCGGGTCCTCTGCTCCCGGCTCCAGCTGCAGCCCCATCCGATGGGCTGTGTGGTGGCATCCAAGTGATCAAGGCAGGCCTCCAGCCAGTTAGTCCCAGCTGGAGGCACCTTGAACCGGCCAGTCAGTGGCTGAGCCGGGGCCTGATACCACATTCCCGCTCCTTCGGCCACAGCCCCTTGTGGCCTTGCTTGGAGGGAAAGCCAGATCACGGGACCCAGTCTTGCTGGCTTAGGGCTGAGGCAGAGGTCAAGGGGCAGTCAGTGTGTAAGGGGTCCCTAGCGCTCCCGGCTGAGCCCAGCCCTCTCTTCCTGGCATGGGGGGTGAGGGGCAGAGCACCTGGATGCCCGAGGCAGGAGAGGCACCTCCTCTCCTGCCTGCCCACTATACCCCGCCACCCTCGCACACCTGCTGCTCCAGAGGACCCCCCCCCCCCCCCCCCAAGTCTCCTTGTAAAGGAGAGCCTGTGCCCACTCCCACGCTGTGACCCCACCCCTGCCCAGCCACTCCTCCCTCGGGGCCACCCTCTGGGCCTTCAGGCTCTGACTGGGCCACCCTTTCCCTTTTCTGTCTCCACAGTTTGTTGCCTCATGATTTCCAGCAGCAGAAAAGGCGAGTTTATAGAAGAAAAAGATCAAAGTTTTTGCTGGAAGATGCTATCCCCAGTGTTAGTTTCTCGTTTTCTCACTCTCCACTTTCACACTCAGGGTCAGCACATACTAGGGATTCCTGTGCAGAAAACTAAGTCCCCCAGGCCCAGGGGACTCTCCCACATCCCCGAAAGGATCCTTTTATAGCTGGTTAAACAAGGAAGGGCCAGGCACTGCGAGACGACTCCTTCATCTCCCCAAGTTCTCCCAAGAACCCAGAGCGGGGCTGGGCAAGGGCAGGTAATATCCTTGCCTCCACTGTCCAGGTGGGGAAACTAAGGGCCCAGGAGGGCAGTGACCCTCCTGAGGTCACACCTCAGGCAGTGGCAGAGCCCAGCTCAGAACCAGGGCTCCAGAGCATTCTTGCCTTCTTCAGTAGCCCTGCATCCTCAGTGAAGCCCTCACTGTGGGCAGTAACATTAGCCGTGTCTCCCCTGGACCATTTATAAGGCACCTTCACAACTGTCATTCCACTCTGCCGTGCTCCCTGACACCCCTAAGAGTGAAGCTCAGAAGGGGTTATTACCCACCTTTTGCAGTTGAGGTAACTCAAGCCCAGAGATGGAACAGTCAGACAACTGGCCAGAGACAGAGGCAGGAATAGAACTGACATGACCTGGCTCCCTGGTCAGGACTGGAAAAAAGAGGAGGGGACAAGTCTGACCCTCAGAAGGCCAGCTGGCCCCGCGCAGCCTGTGCGGCCCTCAGTGGGGAGGAGGGTGCTGTGGAAGGTGGAAGTGATGCTTGCCGGCTGACTGCCCCTCCTTCCTGTGTCCACAGAGTGACTTTACCTCGGCCTGGAGCACCAACCACCATCTGGCCAGCATATTTGACTTCACGCTGGATGAGATACAGAGTTTAAAAAGGTAACAATGAGGGATCCGGCAGAGAGGTCTGCTCTGGAGACTGGGATGGAACCAAGCAGGGAGACCACCATTCCTCCAGCTATGGAAGATGTAAAGCAGAGAGCCTTTGGAGGGAAGGGAAGCTCCCTTGGGGTCACTGAGTTAAAGGGTCCGTATTGCAGAAGGCTGCCTGAAAGGTCTGTCTGCATTAGGGTTTCAGCCTAACACCCATGCTGTAAGCCTGCAGGGCTCCCGGGGACAGCTCCACAGGGCAGCGCTCAAGGCCTGCCTAGCCCGGCCCTTCCAACCTCTCCCACTTCTCCTTGCCTCACGCCTGACACCAAAATTGCTGTGATCACCCCACATTCACGTTCCTCCAGGGAGCCTTCCCTAACCCTCCCCAGGCTGTGGCGGATGCTCCTTGTGTATTCCCACAGAGCCTCGTGCTTGGTACACCCAAGGGGAGGGGCTGCATCCATTGTTTTATTTCCAGAACTATTAAAGGTCGTTTCGTGCTTTCCTGTGGGCATGGAGGAGAGAGCAAGGGCTTCAGTCAGTCAGGCCTGGGCTCCAGCGCCTACTTACCAATTGCCAGCTGTGTAACTTAGCAAAATTCTTTAACCTCTCTGAACCTCCTCACCTGTTCCTGCGTGGTTGTTTTGAGACTCAAAATCCTGTACACGAAAGCACTCCCGGCCTGTAAGGTGTTGCACGAGTGTCTGGGATCATGGTGATTATCATCTCTAATGACTGTCACAGTGCTTATGTCAATGCCAGGGGAGGGTGGTCAGGGAAGGCTTTTGTGACTCCTTGGACTCTGAAGGCTGGATGGGTAGGAAACGTTCAGGAGAGAGGAGGTGCCACTGCAGCTGTGGTGGCGGGAAGCTCAGTGGGAAGGTGGCTTCAGCTGGGACGAAGGATGCATGTGAGAGGGACCAGGAGACGATGGGGAGGCCCCAAGGGGCGCTGAGGATCAGCGGCTGGCTCACCCTCTCCTCCCTCTTAGCGCCAGCTCAGGCCAGACCTTCTTCTCCGACGTGGACTCCACTGATGCTGCCAGCACCTCTGGCTCCGCTTCCACCAGCCTGTCCTACGACTCCAGGTTAGCTTCCCAGCACGATGGATTCAAGTTCCATCGCTCCCCCCCGAACCCCCAAGCCCCTTTGTGATGTGTGGCTCACTCTGTGCATCTGAGTCTCGGGACCTGGCCGCCCTTAAGTGCGTGAGGGTCTGGGACCTTCCGGTTCTGAGTTGTGGGCATTCGGGCTGCTCCTCTTAGCCTGCTACAGGTTATGTGACACCTCTTGCTGGGCAGTTTCAGATCCAGGGTTCTTCCATTCTGGGGTTCTTGGCCTCTGCTTGCCATCATTTTGCAATGTCTGTGCCTCTGACTGCAGGGTCCCCTGACCCTGGTTCTTGGCTGTCTGAACCTGGTGTCTGTCTTGTGGATCTTTAAGGAAAAGAGCCTGGTAGAGGGGAAATGGCATCTTGCAAAGTGTAAGGACTAGGAGAGGGCACAGAAATCCCTGGAGGCCTAGCTAAGGGTACAGCCTGCTTGGCAACAGCTGGTCCTCAGCAGCAAAGGGAGGGTGGTGCTGCAAAGCACACAGACAACTTTTTAACTGAGGCTCTTTTAACTGTATTTAGGATACTTGAGGCCCTTGCAAAAAGTAGAATTTAAAGTATCGATGTAATGCCCATTGAAGCGTGTCTTTTCTCCAAACATCTTTCTCTGCTGTTGCCTCTGTATTTTCTTTTATCTCTTCGGTTCTCACTAGCTCTTTGGGTCTTGGTTTGTTCCTAAGTACCTGTGACTGTGTACCTCTTCTTTTGTGTGTGTGTGTCTTTCCCCCGCTCCGCCTCTTTCTGCCCCTGTGGAGGGGAGAGGGGAGGAGAGGGGACACATGTCTGCCTCCCCATCCCTACCCCTGCGTGACGCCTCCGGCTACAGTGAGTCCAGGTGACCGACTAGGCAGAGTAAGCAGGGCCTCTGCACTGCACGGCTGCAGGAAGCACCAGGATGGTGCTCCTGGACTCAGGCCACACTGAGCTCCTCAGCATAAGAAACATGGTTTTAGAGCTGGACACACCTAGGTTTGAATCCGGGCTGTGCCACTCCCCGGCTGGTGGTTTCTCCTCTGGAGCCTCCTCAGGGCTGTTGTAGGGATCCAGGGGGATCATCGGTGCCCAGGGCCTGGTGCCAGGAGTGCTCAGGGACAGGGACTTGGTGGGATAATCCCGTTTCATTCCCGTCGTCCTCCTCCTCCCCTTCCGATACAGACGGACAGTGGGCAGCCGCAAGAGGAAGCTGGCAGCCAAAGCGTACATGCCACTGCGGGCAAAGCGGCGGGCGGCCGAGCTGGGTGGACGCTGCCCCTCCGACAGCAGCGCAGAGGGGGCCTCAGGCCCTGAGCGGCCCGACGAGGGCATCGACAGCCACACGTTCGAGAGCATCAGTGAAGATGACTCGTCCTTGTCCCACCTCAAGTCATCCATCACCAACTATTTTGGCGCAGCCGGGCGGTTAGCCTGTGGGGAGAAGTACCAGGTGCTGGCTCGGAGGGTCACGCCAGAGGGCAAGGTTCAGTACCTGGTGGAGTGGGAAGGGACTACCCCTTACTGACCAGCCCCCAAAGGATGCCAGCAGTCCTAGAAACCAAAGGAGAGACAGCGGAAGCCACAGGCTCCCCATTTCTCTCCAGGCTGGGGTGCGGGAGGGAAGCAAGACGGAGCTGCAAGTGCCTGGCCAGAGCCCTGCCTGCCCGCCTGCCTGCCAGGGCTGCGCCTCCACTGTGCCCGTTCTGCTCTCCGGCCCCCTCAGGCTCACCACCTCTTTGCCTGTGTCTCTGAGGCCCCGCTGGCTACTTCTCAGTGTCTCCACACACTCCCTCCCAACTGTTTACCTGTTCCTCTGAATTAGTGTCCTGCTGGCTCTGTGGGCTGTTCCTGAGGCCCGAGTCTTTGTCCCCAGTGCGTCCCTTTACCTTTCCTTCCCCTTTTGGGTATGTGTGTTTACACACCCAATCCTCCACTGGACATCCCTACACCTGGCCCATCCCAGAGACCACATCATGAGAACAGAAACCTTTGAGAAAGACTGGGTGAAGGTGGGTAAGAGGATGCCTTGAGGAGCCTTTCCCTGTCACTTTCCTGCCTCTCCTGCCCTTGGGAAGAGGTGGTGAGGGTGGGAGAGAGAATGCCTCTGGAAAGCCTGTGTGGCAGAGGCCCTGGGGCCCTCAGGATCTGAGGCGTGAGGAGGCTGGGCCTCTGCTTCCGAAGGCACCAGCACCAGAGCCCAGTTATTAAGGCCCAGAGTACAGGCTGCAGGCGTCAGCTTCTGAGACCCGTGTTCCCTTCCCTGGCCACATCCCTCTCTGTTACCATGGAGCTGGGCCTGGCCTTGCAAACCTGAGGCTGGAGGAAGGGAAGCCGTGTCCTGCTACACCTCAGACCGTCTCCTCTGCCTCCCACCCCCAGGCACACACATGGGCCCCGGCCTCCAGGCGTGTGTACACACACACACACACACACCCTCTCCCTCTCCCTCTCCCTCTCCCTCTCCCTCTCCCCGTAGGGTGCCAGCACGGCTCCTCCCTTGGCTTTTCCTTGGCCCTCTTCTGGGGGCCACGTGCTGCAACTCAATGTGAACGTCCAGCACCTGCCAGTGAACGAGCTGCGACCCTAGAGGGAGGCACGGGAGACTCATACCCTCTTCCTTATCCCCTGCCCCGTTCTGAAATTGACAATCACTTTTGGGGCAGGTTGGGATTTTTTTTAAAGGGCCTGAGTCATTAAGTCCCCTCAAAGGGAAGCCTTTGTCAGTGGGAATATACGTAGAGTTCTTAGAACCAACATTAAAACTCACACCCACCTGGAGGGAGACCAAAAATGGGAGGGGGAGGAGACCCCTCATTTTTGCTGCTTCCAGAGGCATTAGAAACTGACTGACTCGATTGGAAAGAAGTGCCTTGACTGGGGCAAGGGGTGTTACCTGAGGGGGACCATCCTTGCCAACTGCTGCTGTGGCCTCCAGCTCAGCTAGGTTTTGGAGGCTGCCGGCTGCAAGGTGAAGGGGGGTGAACAATGAGCTGAGAGCAGCAGGCCTGGAGCTGGTTTTTCCATTAGGCTGACCCCTCCCCATCTGTGGGCATTCAGGGGGGTCCCTGAGAGAGTTCAGATGCCCCTTGCCTCAAACCTCAGCCCCAACAGTGCCTTTCAACTGGGACCTCACCTCCTATACACAGTCCACCCACTTCTGCTTCCCAGCATGGTCCAGGCAGGAACAAGCTGGTTGGGCCCAGTTCTCTCCCTTCTCAGCTCCACAGCTGCTGCCACTGAAGCCCCCTGCTGGGGCCAGGTGGAAGGGGAGCTGAGAAGGCAGCCCCCAACCGCCTGAAATATGGGGCCAGATCTAACCGGGGGCCTCCTGCCTGGCTCCAGAGAACACAGCAGCCTCCCAGGCCTGCCTTCCAGGCTTCTGAGAAAGTGCAGGATGAACACAGCCTGTCAGTGTACCTGCACCTCCTCTACTCAAGCTCCAGAGGCTCTGGCCTTGAAGAGGAGGAAGGGGGGAGACAGTGTCTTCCTCACCTGGAGGTCAGTGTAAGGCCTGGCAAGGTCACACTGACTCCACACCCCAGCATTTCATTCATACCTGAAAATAGCTGCATTACTGCCAACTGACCTTATCATAACCCTGTGCACCTTCGAAAAGATTTATGGTTTTGAATTGCTGCTTTTAATAACATTTGTTATATTAAAATTATAATTAATGTGTCTGATTTACAATTTAAAGGCTCACTTTGAAAAACTGCCTGTCATTCCCCTAGTGAAATATCAGCTATTGGGTACCAGGAGGAATTACCTCTGGTTTCCTGGAAGGTGAAGAGGAATGGTGAGACCCCATCCTCTCTCTGGCCACCGTGCCACTCCTACCACCACCACATTCTCTCAGCAATATTCTCACCTTTGCCACCAGAAGTATGTGGAACCTTTTTTCTGTGAGTACCTGACCCATGGGGGCAAAAAACATTTGCTGAGGGCCACAGAGAAGTGAGAGCTGGGGACTGAGTTTAGAATGTGATCCTATGAAGATGCTTAAGTACAGGCACTGTAAAACTTCAGAGTTTGCAAGCACACAGTTGTAGAAATCTGAAGTGCATTCCTGGCCTGGCTCTGCTGGTTGGAACCTGCACCACTTTGTCAGGTTCCTTTGCTCCAGTTCCTCACCCTTCACATGCCTGGGAGAATCCCTGCCGTATTCAGCACCCCAGATATTGAGGGAGCCCTCTCACATATAAATGTGATGGATTACCACCTTAAATAAACTTCTCTAAATCGGGGGTAGTTTGGAGAGAGAAAAAGAGGCAGCATGAAGGGACAGGAAAAAGCTACAGGGTTCAACTGAACTCTGTTTTCAGAGGTTAGTGTAGCATGTTAAACCCCAAGTGTTAATGTCTGCCCTTAAAAATCTTCTTTAACTATGGCTCCCGCTTTTTCCTACCACTCTTTCTGCTGCAACTTTATAACTGCCCTTGGAACAAAACCACAGTTGGAGCTAGGGCGGGGTAGAGGATGGGATTATTCTCTGGGCTGAAATCAGTTTAATGGAATAAAAAGTGAATGGCACCAAGCATCCAGAGATCTGGGCTCTAGTCCAAGTTCTACAGTGAATAGCCCTATATACCCTCCTGAGGTGAGTGGTCTCCCCAAGCTGGGGAGTCCCTGCTGTTCCTGTGTGGTCTACATTAGTGTTTACAAATTTACAACACATATCTATCTACGTTTAGAATTTAGGAGCAAGAAATTAGAATTCTCAAAAATTCCCTAAATCATAACTTATCCTTAAAATACTGCAAACATTCTTCATACTTTCCCCGTTATTACAGATATTTAAAAAAAAAAAATTAACAAATAGGAACAGTAAGCTTAGTAGAATTTAGAACTACAGCCTCTAGGGAATACTTAAACACTGGAAAACACCAGGGAACATTATTGGATAGTATTCAAATAACGTAACATTCAAATATCCTAACAAGGTTAAGAGTATATAGAATCATGTGTCAAAATTGCCAAATTAAGAATTTATTTTGCTTCCAAAGCTTATTTCTTGGAACACTGCTCATAGGATTTGTATAAAGTACACTACATGTATAAACTTACCTTATTTGCAAGAATAACTCACAGTTTGCGGCAGACAGGGCTAGACACACACTCCTTTGACGTGCCAACAATCACAGGCAAGACTGACTAAGTGGAAACCATCTCTCCTACGTGCTCCTGTCCTGGTTCTCTTAGTCTTCAACTCTATGTTAGTATTTCTTGCTCTAGTTTTTTATTTGATGAAGCTGGATTCCCTCAAACCAGCAACGTCTCTATGCTTTTAAGCTTTAGTGTTCACAGATAAAATTTTAATACTTTTTCACATTTCCTCAACTGACTCTCCTCTCCCAGGGATTCTGGGATCAAAAAGCATAAGTTTCCTGAGAAATGCTGGGAAGGAATTCCCACGTGGAAACCCTGATGAAGGTCCTAGCCCCAGCTCCCACAGCATCATCTGGGAGGACAGTGTGGTATAGTGGCCAAACCATGTAAGTTGGAGTCACATAGACCCTAACCATTAAACTCCTCTAAATCTGTTCCCTCATCTGCAGAATTGAAGATATTATCACCAACATCCAGATCTGTGGGGAGAAGTAATGCAATATATCAATACCAACTACCACACAGATGTTTTAGGAACGAATAACTCTTCCTTTAGAGTTGGCTACGGCAGGTTCTCTGGATCTTTGGCCTACAAAGGGATACATCCAACCTCTTTGAAAGAGGCAGTAAGAGCATCAGATTTAGAATCAGAGACTTGGGTTAGAAGCCTAGTTCTGCCATTTACTTTAAGTGTCTCCTGCTCTCTGACTTCAGGTTTCAACTGCAAAATGAGGATAACGTTGACTTGTAAGGATAAAATAATGTTAAAAAACTAGGGCAGTACCTGGCAGAGACAGCTGGTGTCTTGTCCTTGTCTTCTCCTATTTCCTATAGTCAGCTGTGACACTGTGACAAAGGAAGGCCACCAAGAAACAGTTTTCAATGCACAGTCAGCACAGAAAATGAACCAATGAAGGCCAGAGATAGAAAGAAAAACTGCCTTTGGAATTAGTCCCACCTAAAAAAAGTTGAAGGAAAAAAAGTTGGATTTTTGCCAACTCCATAAATTAGGAAGTAATTGTGGACCACAGAGAAGCTTTAGCTATTCAAATCCTTGCAACATCAGTTCAGGAAATTATCTGCCAAACCCAGTGCAAGAGACCAAATGGATTCAAACTTATCCCTCACCTCGAGCAGCTCACAATCTAGAAACAAGAGACTGACTGTGACGCACAAGGATAACAGGACATCAAGGCAGGAGAGATTCCTTCCAACCAGGGATGCCAGGCCTTGCCAAGGAGACTTCTTAAGCACTGATGCAGAAGGGTGATCAGGCAGAGAGGATGGCCTGAACACAGGAGTAACAGCACAGCATACTGGAGCACCCACATGAACACAGGAGTAACAGCACAGCATACTGGAGCACCCACATGCCAGAGTAGGTGAGGATGGAAAATTGAGTTGAGACAAGGCTCCGAAGGGCCTTGAAATCCAGACCACGAAATTGACTTTATCGTGAAAGCAATACGGACAGTCCATTTGGGGTCCCCAGTACATTTTCAGTAGGGTTTACTTTACACAAGATTTTCACATGCACCAGAAACATCTGTCATAAAAAAAAAAGGACATCACCATTAACATTTTCCTTCTTCTCCTGAGGCAGCCCACCAAACTCCCCACTATCACAAACAGGATCTTCTGGACCTTTGGAAGGGGCTCAGCCTGAAGTCGCTACAAGGTCTTCAAAGTGGAAGGGTCCTTGCAGATCCTCCCTCATTTTATATCTGAAGGAACTAAGGTCCAAGAAGCACAGAAGGCATCAGAACCAGAGCCTGGCAACACCCTACCCACACACCCTTCCCTCTTGAGAAGGAAGACCTAGGATACCGCAGATGTCTGTGGACTCCCATCCAAACTGCCCATGGTGTCCCCAGAGTGGAGTCACCTTGTGACAGAGCCATGGAAGCAGCCTAGATCAGGTCTCTCTTCTCACCCCACAGGGATCTTCCCTGTGGAGAAGACACCTGTGGAGCAAGTTTAGGAGAGCACCAGACAGAGTGAGCAGCCTTGGCTATCCCATCTGTAACTCAACATGCCACCCACTTTCTGGACCTCACTGCAGTTCAGTTTCCTTTCCTATAAAATGGAGACTGGCTTAGGCCACTGGTTTACAAACTTTTAACAACAGAAACTTAGCTCAATACATAAAAATAATAAAAGCACAGTTGCACTGGTTGAAGTATGAGTAGCCCCCAGGATACCTGCTGTGAACCCCTGGGGTTCTGTGGAGCAAGTCTGAAAAACACTTGTCTAGCAGTCCCCCGGGTTCTTCCTCCTTCAGGATGCTCAGTTTCAATGCTCAAGTGGAGAGGTTAGTATGGTGGGCTCAGAACCCATGTCTCCACTGAGCAGGGCACCAGAACCTTCTGATGTCTGCCCCTTCAGGCTAGGAAAGAGTCAAGACCTACTCCCAATCCGTGAGGCTATGTCTAAGCCCTAATACTCCCTAGTCCTACGTGCACTCAGGAAGCCCACTCCCAGTCCCACTTCCTCAGGACTCAGGAATAACAAACACCATCTTTAGCTAGAAGAAATAAAATCCTGCTTGTCCCTGAAATTCCACCATTAGCAATTCATGCTTTTGGATAAAGCACTTCCAGTTCCCCTAGAAGGTGGCATTCACCCCACACACTTCTGGGTGACAGGTCAACAGGTCCATTCCTCATGAGAGGCAGGAGAGTAATAACATACTAGGCACTCAATATAGGCTCAGTGAACGTAGATGACAAACCTCAGCCTCACTGCCGCCTCCCCTTGGTCCCCATACACAATCACCCTCGCCCTCCCACCCCCAGCCACCTTTACGCATGATGCACTCAGAGACAAGATCCATGGGGTTCTTGCTTGGCCTGACTGGCCCAGCATCCTCTTCCAGCCTCAGAAGCCTTGGACCTTCACCCTCTACAAGTTACTTAACTCCTCTGCGCTGACAAAAGCATGGAATCCAGAGATGCAAGGGGGCAGAGAGAAGCCTCCCCTCCCCCAGAGAACAGCTGATGAAGGTTAGAGTCAGCCAGCAGGAGGCACAAGAAGCCCCCACTCATTCCTCCTCCATGCCCTCCTCCAGCCACTTTAAATAGTGCACATCTCCTTGGTCCATGGGAAGACTGAAGACCTCTGGGATTTCAAAAGGATGCACCAACCTTTGGAAAGAAAGCAGAGCTCTGTGAGTGACCAGGATTAGTCAGCCTATGCAATAAAACCCAACTGGGCAGCCTCACTTGAGGCCCTCTGCAATAGCCCCACAGCCCACCACTCCTACGCCTGTTACCCATCTGTCACCAAGTGATGAGTTAGGCCAGATGGCTTTAGAGTCTCACAGACATGGGTTCAAATTCTAAGCCTGCCACTTACTAGCTATGTAAGCACGGACAAATCACTTAATTTCCCTAAAGGCCCTGCAAAAGAGGGGATAAAAATAGTACCTATGTGACTAGATTGCTGAGGATTAAATGAGACAAGGTATATAAGGCACATACCTGGTACACTGGCGCTGTATGCATTCAGTAAATGTTTGCTACTCTTTTTATTACTATCCTTCACTCATCACTGTGCCTTCCCCAAACAACTCTCCCTTTCCCTGTACCTCTGTATTCTCTTCTCCACCTAGAAAGTTCTCCCTGTTCCTGCTG